ATCTGTCAAACACCGAGCGGTCACCGGTGACCGCGACCTATTGTTCTTTAATTGTGTCTATAAAACCGGTACTCGACGAGTTAATAGGATATTTACCTTCAGGGAACTACGTATACTTACGTTAGCGTCAACGAATCGATTTAATCGATTACGTAGATAAATATCAGGGGAAAATAATCGATGTTTTTGTTTTAAAAAGCTTTTGAAACCCTGTACCGTGCCCATAAGCCCGTACAGCCAGTGGCAAAGCCAACAGGTAATTATCTATTAAGCCCGGTGGGCCGGACGACCTCCAATCATGTGCGAAACGTCGCTGGCTAGTCGATGTGGTTTTTGTCCATTATACAAAGTACCTACTTACTATATATAAACAGAAAATATCGGAGAAATTATTATAATTATGATGAATATATCTGATTGAGCGGAATATGAACTAATACCTACATAAAAATAATTGTCGTCATTCAGCTTATTGAGCTTCAGCACTTCCTAACTACCGTCACAATATTGAATACTGTCATTAATTACTATTTAACGGCACAGGTTTCAGCAAAAGATGTGTCAAAGTTTTCTTCTTCATTAACTAAAATCGCGGGTTACTCACGTGAATATACTGAGAAAAGCTCTACTAGTTTCGAACCAACCAATTTAACCCAACTGTAACCCGCGACTTCAGTTAATTTAGTATGCGATACATTGTAAAAAATACACTCCTTCATTCTTACTATTTCATTGGATGATATTTTTTGTATTTGTAAAAGATGAAAATAAAGCGAACTCAAAGCGTTGGAAATATTATTATCCCAGTATTTTCTGTATAAAATTCAATTATGCCAGGCGATGCTTAGGTACGTGCTGTGTGTACCGTCGCGTCGCGTCGCATACAGACGGGACCGATTGCATTTTTTATGAAACGCAGCGTATGAGTTAGGCATGTCGAAATTGGAAAAGTTTTCCATTGCATAGCGGTACTGTGATAGAAATAAAAATACCTCGATTATTCCTCTTGTGGTTTGTCTAGATGAGTTTAGAATATATGAAGAGCAGCCCAAACAACCTGTCTGTAGAAGTTTTGATTAGATAAACTATTGAATTTCAAGTTATTGTCAATGTTTCGAGAACATAATAAACAATGGTATTGCAGAGCTTATTAAAACAAGATAGGCTTTATCCCCAAGCGGTCACCGGTGACTGCTCTCCACTAACTACATTATAGACCTTAATTCTAATGTTTAGAGACTACTTTTGTATGAACAAATTTAGGAGATGATTTTTAACAATTTTCAAAGGAAAAGGAAAGCTGACATATCGATTTATCATCCTATCTCCAATTTTTTAAATAAAACCTAATCTACCTATCCTAATAAGCACCTACTTATTCATACTTATCCAATTAAAATACACTAATAAACATATCACTTTTCCAATGTAAATAAGTACGTTCCCTTTTAAGTCCCCATAACACAAAGAGGTGTAAAATGAAATAGGAATAACATAAAATCACGCCTTTTTATCCCCGAAGGGAAAGGCTAAGGTGCACATTACGACACTTAATGCCACTGTACAATGTAACACCCACTTTTCACTATTTATGTTATGAGTCCCATGTAATAAGGGGTGAGCCTATTGGCACATATCGGGCACAGTTCTAAACTCCATGCTATTACTGAGATTTTTTGAAAAAAACCCAGCAGTGCTTTGCCCGACCCAGGAATCAAACCCGAAATCCTTTGCCCGGCAGAAATAAGAATAATACACCAAATAATGGGAAAATTACGAAAGGAACATACATTATGTAAAGATGCAATTACCTACTTTAAAATGAAGATATAAAGGACGTGTAAGTATTTATTTATTAGTCCCAGTCCATGATAACCTTGAGAAATACGTACCTACACATTGCTTTGATACAGAAAAAATAAGTAAGAAAATGTTTTATTGGCTGAATCTTCATAGATGACGGCTATTAGTTCGACTGAGCCGTTCCCATCGAGCCGTGACGTATTGCCCACATTATCAAAGACTAGTAGATCGTATGTATGTATTAAGAGCTTTGTCCGTCATTATTAGAGCTGTCAGCTTATCTTGGTCGGTCCATTAGTTGATACCTGATATGTACCCATTTTAGCATCGACCACTTAACGTTTGACCTCTAATATCGTATAACAGATTATAATATAACTAATTTACGTCACTGTTACGTGTAAAATAAACGATTGCATATTGTAACGTCACTCCAAACGTCTAAACTTCGTAAGACAACATTTCTTTAACTTTTTTGTCAAAACAAATAATATTATGAACATTCCCAAAGACCTATCCCCATTATATCTACATATAAGTGAAACCGTGGGTATAGCCAAATAAAAGTAATATCTTACAAGTGAGAATACTATTTTCCAAGTTGACAAAAGGACCTAATTTTAATTTGCACTGCACTAAAGTAATTGGGATAGTGACAGGGTATGAAAATTAAAAATCGAATTAGTTCGTAAGTTAGTTAATGAACATTTTAGACAAGTATTTTTATTTTGTCGTTTAATAAATCAATACTTAGATAAAACGAATCAAAGTTTAGGAGTGAGGGTTAAAACGTCATTTCTACGTATAAAATGTACAAAGAAGTGACGTCACGCGACATTTCAAATCAATATATCGCCGAAAGTATTCGTTTCTGTAAGAAAATAAAAAATACGTGTCTTGTCAATGATTTAAAATAATCTACCACACGGACATTAAAATAAAAATTAGGCGTCTACCCTATTCTAAACATGGCCTACAGAAACTACCACCGAGGATTACTAAATAGACTTAAAAATAATAATTATGTAATACGTTTAAAAAAAGTAAACGCGGCAGATATCGCAAGCACGAGTAAGCCATTTATATTATGTTTACTCAAATACATAAGATAATAAAACATATACGTTTCAATATAGGTTTGATAAAGTTACTATTTACTAAGCTTTCGTTATTAATATAATATCATTAAGCTGTTTATTTGTTATTAATAATAGATTTGTATTATTAAACACGATTTTCTTATACTTATACAAGTCTCATTGTGTTGACTATGATGATGTTTTTTTACCGGTAAATCGAGTTCTAAAAATGAATGCACAGAAAATATTAAAAAAAGAAAAATGTAAGGAAAACTAAAACCCCAAATAAAATTAAAAACATTGGCTGCTATGCACCAATCACGCATTCCAGCCAGCACGAGACGTCTTCGAATTTCATTTATTCGTCACGACGTCTTTCCAGCCATCCCTTTTTACCGAATTCTCAAGGAACCATAGAGCAACATTATATTCCTTTTTTAAACATTTCCCGCGCAAACGGGGTCACGCGATTATTGTCCCACATACCGTCCTAATTCGTTGTTAGTCGTGACGTCATCATGCTATACTTTCACGGTAATTTATTAGTCAGGTACCATGGCGCTCGTAATTGTTATTGCATTGGAATTTATGCAGTCTTTCGAATTATTTAGGTATGTAATTGCACGAAGGTAAGCCGGCTAAAGATTTTGAATAGATAACGTGGTTACTGAAACTAAAATGCTACTAATTTTTAACCAAACATAACCTATACAACGGTTTCGTAAAGGTATGGTACATCTTTTACCAATAATTAAAAACTCATTCCCATATTTTACTATCAGACAGCAATAATTCTAAACGAAACTGAGTGACCCGGAACTGAACCTAATTCTAAACAGCACTTCAACAACACCATAATGGATGTTTAAAAACATCGCAATTAATTTGTCAGTTACAACTGGCAAAACTACAACACTATGTGTAAATTAATTCTATTTATGTATCTACCTATAAACAGCAACCCAACTTATATTAAAAATGCGAAAATAAGTTTGTCTTTACGCTTTATCTCCTCTACATGGGAATGGGAGTAATGGAGAAGAATATCTTACTGTCCTTCCATCCTAAGTAGAAAAGAAGGAAGTAGCAATAAGAATTCGTACTTATAATTATACGTTTGCAATTTTGTGAGTAAAACGTCTGTTAGTGACATATTACACATTATCGTAAAAACTACTAAACAAATATAGATGGAATTTTACATAGAGTTAGATTACAGTTTGATATAACACACAGCGTACGTATTACCGTGGTGGAATCCGGCAGAAGCAAGGAAGCATATAAATTCACACGGGCAAAACCGCGGGCAACAGTGAATAAGACATAAACAGACATTCGCGTATTTTCATGTTGTACTCTATAGCAAAGCATGTTTGAAAGCTCTAAACGATTTATGAGCCGGCTTCATACACATTTCAGGGAAAACAAAACAGTTTTCTGCATTCAATTCAGTTTTAGTTATAAATGCAAGTGGAAAAATGTGGCGAATGTTCATGAATGTCAGACGTGCCAAGATGTTTTTAATATCATTTAAATTTGTTAAATGAAAATCTTGTTTAAAATGTTTATGGTATATGGAGCAACTGGTAATTCGGATAACCTGATACTTGTGATTAGCGTCACCCGTGGACAACTGTAACACCTGCGGACAACCTAACCGGTTACCAGGGCTTCGGTTCAAAGCAGAAACAGGAATGGGGTAGATTTGTGACTACAAGAGTAAGGGTCTGACACTCCCTCTGACTTCACCCAGGGCGAGAGAAGTCATTGGATGATTCTCCCCACTTAAAAATTAAAAAAAAGGGAGTATGGCAACAACTATTTTTACTTGCGCTGCTATCAGCAAATCTGTGGAATGATCTGTCGTCGGCAATGCATTTGTGATTGCTGTAGTGTTCCGGGAATCTATGGGCGACGTTGACGTACCATCGTGTGATCCATACGCTCGTTTGTCACCCTTCCCATAATAATTCATCAAGCCAATTTCTTACGATGATAGGTAGACTAGTCAACAGGTACAGTACAAATATATTCTAGTCAGTTGTCAAGTTATGATGAACTTTACATGAAATGACTTAAGGTTCTCTTTTATAGTTATGTAGTTGTAGATCTATTTACCTATGTCCATGTTGTGTAGGTAGTGTCTCAGGACTTTGTATAGTAATAAATAATAGGTATCTCATAGGATTGAAAAGGGTATGATATCCAGACAAAGGGAGCCTCTTTGTCTTTTGACATTCTTACATCATAATGCCCATCTAACTAATGGAACAAGACACATGATATAAATAGCTTTAAAACGCTCCCAACCTATTCATAAGGAGTTTGGCGCGTTTGGTAGGCTATAGCTGAAGGATTTTTCATACAGAAACCGACTTAAGAATCCAGTACTTAATATCTTTTTGATCACTCGAACGCCTAAATACGAACAGAAGCCTTAGTACTAGTTTCTTTTTCGTTTAAAGTAATCGACACGAGACGGCGTCCGGCGCTCTGATTGGTTGGTTCATTGGAGCCGGCCAATCACAACGCCGAACGCGTACCCGTTACGATTACTTTAAACGTAAAATAAACTCGTACTAAGCCTCTGATACCTAGGTACAATCGACACAAGTTAACGACTTCTATCCTAAATTCCTAACCCAATATAGTTTATTTTAAATTCAGGTCAAAACAACATAAGTCCATATTATATATATAAGTATTACTGGGTTTTTAAAAAAATCTCAGTAGTAGCACGGAGTCTGGAACTGTGCCCGGTATATGGCAATAGGCTCACCCCCTATTAAATGGGACTCATGACATAAATAGTGAAAAGTGGGTGTTACATTGTACAGTGGTATAATGTGCACCTCTGCCTACCCCTTTAAGGATAAAAGGCGTGATGTTATGTTATGTTTTGTCAAAACAACATAAGTCCATATTAATGATATAACCAAGTACTGTTTAATAATTCCAATCGGTATTATGAACTCGTATTAATATTTTAACGAAGGCAAAACACCTAACGAACTAAAGGTAAGTATTATCAACATGCTATCAAACTACAGTCACTGTTCATTAAATAGTGGACGCACTTACTTCACACAAACAAAGGTTTTAATTAACATAATAATTGTATTAGATATCATAAACTAGGTTTGTAATACACTTGGTCCTCCTCCTCAGTCCTCTGGTGTTCGGAGTGTCCATGGGCGGCGCTGATCGCTTACCATCAGGTGATCCGTCTGCTCGTTTGCCTCCTATTCCATAAAAAAACAAACACTTCTTTGTATTACTGTTCTAAAGAGTGCCTCGTTGGTTGAGTGACCGCAAGTGCGACTGCCGGGCAAGGGGTCTCGGGTTGGATTCCCGGGTCGAGCAAGTATTACTGGGTTTTTTAAAAAGATCTCAGTAGTAGCACGGAATCTGTAATCGTGCCCGGTATATGGCAATAGGCAATAGGCCATCATCCCCTATTACATGGGACTCATAATATATAGTGAAAAGTAGGTGTTACATTGTACAGCGTCATAAAGTGCTGTAATGTGCACCTCTGCCTCTGTTGTGTTCTAAAGAAACTACCATTAACCTGTGACTTCGTTCAAGTGAATTTATATCGTCTGTCTTTCAAATACACAACTTTAATGTTATACTATTATATAAAGAAGCGGGAGAGTTTGTCTTTTTGTTTGTTTGTTTGAACGCGCTAATCTCCGTAACTACAAGTCTGATTTGAATTATTCTTTTTGTGTTGGATAGCGCATTTATCGAGGATGGCTATAGGCTATAAAAGATCACGCTACGATCAATAGGAGCTGAGCAGAGCGTGTGAAACCGCGCGGAAGTAGCTAGTATTATCAATACAATTCATTAAGTAGTCATTTTTATCTAGATTAGGGCTCAGTCGTCCAACAGTTTTGACTAAACATAAAAGATACACACTAGAACTTTCCCTATGAATCACTATTGTATTGACGCATATCATGTTATTAAAATACGTGCAGTAGTTTTCGAGTTTTATCGCGTTATGATAGACAGACGCGGTGATAGATTTTGATTTATTTGCTAGGAAACACAAACAATAATATTGTTTATCTTAGGGAAATATTGTGTTCAGTATCTTCGGTTCTTGAGGCTTGTAGATGATTTCTATGAATGATTCTATTTTTTATTGTACACTTAACTACCCCTTATCTGGTTTCTTATAAATATTTCCAATCAAAAGGTTGTCTGGAAGAAATCACCATTGTGTGATAAGACCGCCCATTGTACGCATATTTACTTGAATTGTTTGTTTTATAAACTACTTAAATGTGTACAATAAAGCATATATAAATAAATAAATGATTGATTTTCTTTGTGAATCAACTATCGTACTAATAGATATACTACAATAATAATAGACAATAAGAAGAGGCTTTTGGTCAGCAGTGGTCACCTATAGGCTGTTGATGATGATATTCAATAATAATAGACAATCTTAAAACTAGGCTTTATTTGACATTGTCAAGTAAATTACAGTTTTTAATTGAGAGTAAATAGCAATACAATATAGCGACTGCCTCGTTGACCGCGTAGTAGCAAGTGCGACTGCCAGGCAAATGGTCTCGGGCTCGATTCCCGAGTCGGGCAAGTATTACCTACTGGGTTTTTTAAAAATTCCTCAGTAGTAGAACGGAATCTGAAAATGTGCCCCGGATATGGCAATAGGCTCACCCCCTATTACATGGGACTCCTAACATGAATAGTGAAAAGTGGGTGTTACATTGTACAGTGACATTAAGTGCCGTACCTGCCTACCCCTTCGGGGATAAAAGGCGTGATGTTATGTTTAAATAGCAACATTTTACGGTGTTTAATTCAACTGGACAAGAACGATGTCGATCAAATTAGTATAACAATATCTTGAGAAGAGTTACAAACAGTTCGTTAAAAAGACATTTGAACCTATACTTGATAGAATTAAAAAAAAACGAACTCAACTGTTACCACATTTAATCTCAGTCTTCCAGATTCTCTCTATACGGAGTTAGTAAGTAAATCGTCTGTGAAATTGCATTTCCGATACTAATCTGGTTCGATTTCTTGGAGTACCTACTTAACCTTTACAGTAAATGCAGCGAAAGTAATATTCTCAAGACTGCTTTCAATGGGGCATCTGTATTGTTTGCTCCTCTACCTCTTGTTCTTCACCCAATAGGAAATCACCTAGTTTCACACCATTGGACGTTCAATATTTGACAGCTGCTGTGATTGGACGAAAGGACTTCTTCCTAGATTTGCGACACGTGATGAGCTAAAATAAGGCAGTCCCCATTGCCTGTAAGACTGAAGAATAAGCTGCACCATCATTACATTAATGGTCTTTACACTAACTACCCCAAACTAAAGTTACTTAACACCTAAGCTAATTCCCTACTAGTAGGTTCTATTAAATATGACTTAGGTATAGGTTGGTGACAACCAAAATACATATAGTTATATGTCACGATTCCTAGCTTAGGACTTCGTAAAGTTTAACGAGAGGTTGATGAAAACAGACATTAGTTTCGTGAAGAATTATGAAGTTGTCACCAAATCAAAGCTATCATAATACCACATGTGCAGATTGCACCTTACATATTCAGGAATAAAAAGCGTGCCGTTATAAAATGAACAAAAAAACAACTTCTCAGATGACTAACAGGCATTTAGGTTTTAATGTAGACAAAAAATAAGTACAAAAGTATTATAATTAAGTACACAATTTTATTAAATAAGTATCAAGTATTTAACATTCTTGGACCTAAGGTCTTCGGAGAACTGAGAGAAGCTCCTGTTATATTAAACAAAAATGAAAATATAAAACCTTTCCTTTTTGTAACCTGAAGAAAAATTCTAAGAAAAATGATTTTCTAGCTGCGGAAGTAACGTTTAATTAAAGGACTGTACACTTTCAACGTAAACAGACGGCGGTAAATGTAAACTATATTTTACAGGACCACTTGCAGCATAGAGGCTTTGATATAATTTTATTTTTCATTTAAACTAATCGAAACGAGACAGCGTTCGGCGCTGTGATTGGGTAGTTTATTGGAGCCGACCAATCAGAGCGCCGAATGCGTACTCTTTTCGATTACTTTAAACGTATTAGAAACTCGTAATAAGGTCCTCTTACAAAGCACGGGAACTCGGTTAGGTACTCAATATAGTACATCGTCACTGAACATTGCCGCGACCGCGCACGCTACTCATGAGGAAGAACCCCTCTGTGGTTAGAAACTAATAGTGCCTTTCTCAGTACATTCACGTGAGTAACCCGCGATTTTTAGTTAACTATCTTTATAGATTTTAAACTGCCAAACATATCGCCACGGGTTGCGCAAACGCTCATATTAGCTTAGACGAGGCTTATTGTCTAGCAGTAGGTTATCATGAGGTGTTGCAATCTCGATTACTTTTAAATCACATCAGGAATCAAAGCCATGAACTTTGTGTCGTCTTGACTTAAATATTATTGTAGAAATAATTACTAGAAACTTTTTGTTGACCGACTGCACAAATATTTACATAGTATTGTCCATGTTTAGTAGCAACAGTGATACCACTCGCCACGTGTAACCCCAGTCGTGTAGTATGTCTTTTATTCGTATTGGACTAATTAGTGCAATTAATAAATCAAGTCATTAATTCATTATTTAATTAAATAGAAGGTAATGTATGTTTATGCATTCCATTCGAAGTTATGATAAGGGAATTAGAAATGGAGAGTGTATAATAAAGATAGAGAGAAATTAATTCTATGAATGATAACAGAATTGATGCTTTCGTATTATACTAAATTAGACATACTAAATTAATTATTATATTTTCGACTTACATAATTATTTGACGAGGAACTCGACTAGTTTCAAGCCATGCTTATGATTATACTCGAGCTCGAGTAGCAGCGCGACAGTCGCCGCGTCGCGGGTCGCGAAATGCTGCTCATGAGTATGAGCCTCTAGCATGGCTTGAAACTAGTCAAGTTCCTCGTCAAATTATCACGTGAGTAAGCCGAAAACATAATGATTTATTGATGTTTTCAGCTGTGAAACATTAATGACTAATTTTGATAAAGAATATTTAGAAGACTCAGCGGTTAATAAAGCAATAATTAAAGAGAAA